GTGTTTGCTGGTTTCTCTGTGCGACTGAAATGGCTGACTATAATGTGTCAAAAATAATGCTCTGATTGAGAAGTAGAAATTAGTAAATATATGGCTTTTTCTCCTTAATGTAAATCGTAGTTAGAGAAAGAGAAAAAGACAAAAACCAATAGGAGTTACTTCATAAGGGTATCACAATAAAATTTGTCAAGTACCTTTTATGGACAAATTCAATTTATGCACTTGGATCAGCTACAGCACTCTTCAGTATTTGTATGTCCATGTGGATTAGCAGCTGGCTCTCCTTCAGCATTTTTAAATAACCATGAACTGTATAATTGCCATGGGACGGTTATAACTCACATTGGTCATTTATGAGGATTTACGCTCTGGTACGCTCGGTTATTCATTAAAAAAAGATAACTCCCATAGGAGATAGTGCATCACATGATACTCATGCTACTTCTGAAATACAATATACTAAAGAAAACACACGTTGAAAGTACTTATCTGGTCTAAGATATAATAATAGCAATAAATATATTGTGCATACAACCTTTCAATGCTTGAAAAAACTGTGTGAAAGTCTTCCCAAGAAAATATTTCCTATTACTTTAACTAAAAAGTAGGATTGAAGGATAATTTATGTTCAGAATGAAGGAAAAAACATGCTTCAGTTGGCTCTTCTGCACTTCCAGCAATTCCCTGATAATCTTCTAAAATAAGTTGAAAATGTATCATGCTACACTATGATAAAACAATACATGAAATTCCACAGGCTGAATTGTCCTGATAAGGTATGTAGAGCTAAACCCTTGCACTTGGGAATATATATAGTACAAGATGTGCTTTGGGCAGTTGTACAGAAGAAGGAAAACTAAAACAAATCAGATGACAACTCTTTTCCACGAAAGTATTTTGCTCATGTCATTAAAGGTACATTCTAAAGGTCACTTTAGACAGATTTTATTTCCAGTCTTAAAAAGAACCATGCATTTTTAAATTCTCCTGAAATCAAAGAGAACTAAGCCTTTTAAAACCTTCAAAAACCTGACCCATCAGTTAAATAAACAAACCAAAAACCACACTTCACTACAACAGCACTCCAAGGAAATTTAGGCTACTTATGTCTATCCAAGCTAAGCTACAGGCTTCAATATAAGTAATGCATTATTTCACCATGTTCACACACCCCAGAAATGTTAATAATTGGAATTATAACCCACAGTAATATTTATCTGGACTGAAACAGCAAAAAAGTTTTGTAGGAGTATTGTGACTTAATACCAAGCTGCCTCAACCCCCCTGCATGATCCACCATACCAGTTTCAAGGAAAATACCAACCCAAATATTGAACAGTTACCTGAAGAATCTAAATATTGGAAGGGTTATTTTCAATAAGTGTTGATATTTTTCAGAGCACTTAATTGTTTAGCTGCTTAATTTAACTGACCTTATTTCAAACACATAGAAAATGAAGCAGTATGAGTCAACAGCCATATCTTGTTCACAGAGCTTTGAGAGACATCTAAACCATCAAGTAATTTTGTAACAGTGGAATTATTCCTGTAAAATGCAAAGGAAAACTGAATGTTGGTCCCTGACAGATAGTATTTGGGTTTAGAATCAAACCTAACTGCTACTTACGCTGATGTACAAGTGTGTATAGTTTATAAAAACTGTTTCTAAATACTTCTCAAATAAGAGCCTGACTGTATTATATTTTCCCTTTAGAAAATAACTAAAGAATAGATCACTTCCAATAATGTAATACAAAAAAAGCCATCAATTATTTAAAAGTCACACTAAGTTTATAGTTGAACTAATATTAATGAATATGAATTTTCTTTACTGCTTTGATACAAACGTATGGAGAAAAACACTCCTCCATCAACAGATTCCTAATTTGCCTATCCCTGCTGCGGAAGGAAAGAGAAGATATATACATGTGAATTATCAGTACATGGTTTTGTGTTTCTAAGAAACAAAAAAAAGTAAAATACTATATTTTAAAGCAGAAATAAGTACATAAAAAGGAACAGAGCTATGTCCAAAAAAGGGAAAATATTTAATCTCTGAGAATTGTTAAAGTTCTAATCCTGTTTTTCTCACAGCTGACCTGATTTGAGCAGCAGGCTGGACTAGATGACCCTCTGCAGTCCTTTCCAACCTGAACTACCTATTCTTCAGTTTTTATTTTTTATTTCTTATCATTATTACTATTACCAAACAGAGATTACAAGCTTTGTGCTCTTTTAAGAAGCTGGCACAAACTTGGTGTATATTGATAATGTAACTACATTTCTTGCCTATATGTCTTAATTTAAAATACTTAGTCTAGTTGCAGGCACTCTTACTGAAATGAGCAGTATCAGGAATTTCATTTTCCATAGGGTTTAGATTTCCTTTACTGTTAGTTTTCACCTGCAGCCATTCCTTCTTAATGCGATCAGCTAAAGGGTGTGGGGAAAAAAAACCAAAAAACATTTTAATACTCCCAGTACAACATCCTCTGTAGGAAGCAGATGTTGATAATCCAGACGAGCAGATTCTGCACCTGACAAAAGCTTGTTTCCCGAACAAATGTACTAACAAGCATGCCAGGCTCCGAGGGTTAAGCCATACTGTAAAACAGTTCTTGTTTTCTGGAAAGCCTCCAAACTTCATCTTGTCCCTTCTTGCTCCCAATTGCTAACTCCTTCACAAAATGTGCAAAATGGCCATCAACTAAAATAGCCACAAAAATATTTGCTCTATTACTACTGCTATTACTATTGCTTTCCCAATGTGCACTGTGCAAATAAGTGTTTGGTGGAGTTTACTTCTTGTAAGCTCTCTGCTGATGCTGAAAGGGTTTTTCCTTTTTTCCTTCAGAAGCTTTGAGTCATGCTTTGTAGCTAATAATTAGGAATTGTGTTTTCAGACAAGCTAAAGCCAAACCTTCTTGATCTGAGGGTAATCGGTGCTCACAACATACAGTAAAGGAGGCAAACCTGCTTGGTGATACCAGTATTCTAGCAGAGCTAGAACTCAGTGGAGCTACACTTAATGCAGTTTCTACCTGTCTGCTGAAGGTGAAAAAAGGGCAGATTTGGTCCAATGCTACTGCAAAACAGAAAGATGCAGTAGGTAAAGGACAGTATATTGTAAATTCTATGTACTACAGTCTGCATATTCATTAGCTTTCTGTATTTAAGTATATATTCTTTTATCTTTTAGTCTTTTCAGTCATAATTTCTGAATATCAATAATGAAAATCTGACTGGGTCTATTTACTGTTAGATAAAAGATTACTGCATAAAAATCCCCCAAACCCAATCAATCAGCATGAAGTCTATCCAATTACAAGCCAGAGTTAAGGTGAGAAGTCCGTCCCACTACAGCCTTATGACCTGTCCTGCTGCCTTCCTCCATTTGAGCTCAGGAAATTAATGCATACATACAAGCCATCTTCATCTCTCTTGCTTCATGTCTTAAATAAACATTCCTAAACAGCATCATGATTTGTACTAGAATTAACAACTTTGGCATAGAGTAATATTCAGCTATTACTTAATATGACATGAGAGCAATCAGCAAGTTTCTCAAAGGTAAAAACAAAAGAGGAGTAATTACTGAGGTGAACATGGGGACTATGTAAAAATAAGAGGTAAAAAGAGAATACTTGTAATAAATCTACAGGCAAGACCACAAGATTTATCAGTCCACAGAACATTTCTGCCTCCTAATTTCCCCATTGCTTGAAACACAATCACTCTTTTTTCAAAATTCTTTTTTCCTCTTTTTTTTTTTTTTTGAGACAAAGAGAAGAAAAATTCTTATCAGGAAGAGACTAGCACAGGTAGGAGATGGCCTGAATGATCCAAGTAATCTTTTTCTAAGTCCAGCCTCTCATAGTTTGAGTCATGTTACACCCAAGCCACAGGGTAAGATACCTAACAGGAACAGATACACAGATGTGACATTCCCACCTGGTAATAACAGTTAAATCAATTAGTACTGATAATAAGAAAATATCACAGAGTAATATATTTGACATCAAGTACAGTATCCTCTTAATGTTGCTGGCTTCAGTAGGAAAGAAGTGAAATCACCTTTCACTTGCATTCCAGCTTGTATCTCTACAACTCTGCAAACACTGGGGAAGTGATAAAGAACTTTTTTTCATCAACTAGATTTGTACCACAGCCATATGGCCAGATGGGTAACATCTCAGTCCCTGATAAATATGAAGCTGAAGTACTTAGTAGGAAAGCCGAATTTAACTGCACTTCTGCAAATCTGTAAAAATCTGTTTCAGAAGTTTTTCTGAAACATGGACCATAAATAGTAACTGTAAACTGTACAGAAGTAGAAAGCATGTGACAAAAACACTATATTTGACCCTGTTCTACCAAAAATAACCTTACTTCCTGTGCTCAATTTAATCCATCACAATCTACAACTGTTTTAGCTTTATAATCCAATACTTATCCTACACATTTGTGTGAGTTTATATACTGAGAACATTAGGAAGAAAGCATTAATTAACAGCCTTTCCACTGACATTTACAGGGATTATGGTCCCTCAGTCCTCCAGTAATGCTAATCTTACATTTTTCTCTTATTTCCCCAGTTTAAAAGTTCAATTACAAAATTTCTAACATTAAGAAAACACCATATTTTTTAAAAACACAGAATCTCTTCCTTAGCAGCTAGAACCTGCTTGATTTGAGCTTCCCTGTGTAACCAGTTGTCCTGGGTTCAGCTACAGGAGTCATTTTTTCTCTTTCTGATAAGAGCAGTCCAGTAACTAAGGTATAATACAAAACCACTACTGCTACCACTAATAATAATAATGATAAGGGAAATAACAAGGGGAGAGGACACAACCGCTCACCACTCGCCAACTGATACCCAGCCCAACCCGAGCACCGATCTGGGCCTTCTGGGTAACTCCCCCCGGTTTATATACTGGTCATGACGTGCTGTGGTATGGAATACCCCTTTGGCCAGTTTGGGTCAGGTGTCCTGTCTCCTCTTCCTCCTGGCTTCCCCTCCTCCCTGGCAGAGCATGAGACTGAGAAAGTCCTTGGTCAGAGTAAACATTACTGAGCAACAACTAAAAACATCGGTGTTACCAGCGTTGTTCCCAGGCTCAAAGTCAAAAACCACAGCACTGCACCAGCTACTAAGAAGGAGAAAAATGACTGCTGTAGCCGAACCCAGGACACCAGTGTCTCTGCATCCCTGCTGCTTCACAGGGATTAAAAAAGCAATGAAACATTTTGTGTCTAATGCAGCAACTTGCTAACTAAATTAAATATGATAAAAGAGTAGGATCTTAGGCCAGCCATGTATATAATCATAATTAAAACATACTACAAAGCAGGTGTTTCAAACAGGACAATGTCTGTGGCTTCCTCACCTGCAGAGATAACCAGATCTGTGTATGACTTATTCTAGGCACTTAAAACACCACTAACACACTCCTTCACAGGAATTTCTAAGGAGAGAGAAGAGAGTTCATACTCTGGCCAGTGTTTTATATGATGGCACAGAAGCATTATTAAGCATCAGCATTCAGTGTGGAGAGTTCAAACCTACAGTTTCATACGAATCTATTTTTATCTCCAAAAATGCAGGCAGGGAAGCCACATCATAGACGAACAGAAGAAGACTGTAATATTTAGGATTTACTGGAGACCATAGTTATGAAAGAGTGCTACAAACCTTTCATGCTGAATTTTTATTTGCAGCAATGACTTTCCTGATACTTAATGAAAAAAATGCAGAGATTTGATCAATGATCTTAATATAGTCTAGGCAATAAATTTCCTAATTCTTAGGAAATTTACTTGTGGTAACTGCCATAAGCTGGTCTTATAATGAAAAGCTTCATAATCTATCACTGTTCTGCAAATATCATCACATCTATCATAGTTCGGCCCTGACTTACAATATTCAGAACAAGTAACATTCCAGCTAACAATGCCATGTGTAACTAACTTCACTGAATTTATATCCCTGTCACACCAGCACCGGGTGTGCCGCTTGCAGAGAGGTTTAGAATCATAATCTTTCCTGCCATGTGCAGACCAATTAGTTATTCCACCTTCAGTATTGTTCTCCTGCTGACCTATTCTTCCATGGGGCACCTCTTTAAAAAAACCTCAGAACCACACCAGGAAAAACACAGTTTCACAGTATACTGAGAGACTAATCATGCTGAGCTTTTCCCTTGAGCTTGCTGCATAAATTAGGACTGCCGTAGTACTGCTTTCAGCCTTGGCTGGCAGAGCAGGGACAGGATTTCCCCTTTGGCTGGGATGAAATAGCTCTTTTCAAGTTAGAAATAGGATTTCAGTTAAGGAAAGCTCGTAAAGATTTTTGTGGCATGGATTACACTTACACTTACCTCCTGGACAATGCCTCATGGCCATTTTACACCGTCTGGATTCTGCAATGGTTGGGCATGGAATTGTGTCTTTTGCTGGCTTCTTCACAATTTGTCTTGTTCTCGTTTCCAGGCCCCACTTAAATCCACATGTTTTGTTATTTCTGCTGCAAGTTCCCCACTCACTCCACTGACCCACTTCACAGCCTTCTGATAAAGCAAAAGAAAACATGAATGAGCAATTATTTTGGGTTTGGGGTTTTTTTTTCTTTTTCAATCAGAATACAATATCATAAAGCACCACCTGGAAGTTTTACTGTTAACAGGCAAAAACTTGCAAACAAATTGAAAATCTCTTACAGAAAATCTCTGAAAGAATCTTTTTAGACAGCATCAACCTGAGCATAAAACCATCTGACTACCAATCTGTACAGACATTGTGTTAGTCCAAATTATTCAAAAAGCCTCCTAAAATTATAAGGTTTTTCTTTTTTATTTTTAGTTTTTCAATAAATAAATCCTATTTGGTTGTCAACAGGATTTGCAAAGTTTAAGGGGTCACATTTTCAGGGCTTATCCATCATGAAATGCAAGGAATACTCTTGAAAGAAAGAGTCTGTTCTGACACAATTCCCAGGCTTCAAGATAAAACACCAAACTGTGAGACCTGAGAAATACTGTGAGAACTGCCAACGCTGGTTGGAGTTATATAGTAATTTCTAGTAAAAAAAAAAACCCTTATTTGGTGGTTTATATTTGTTACTTCCTTTGGAAAAGGGAGGGGCTGCTGAGAAACTGAAAGTGAATATGAAACCCAGATGTTACAGGAATGCAACCTGCCCTGCCCCTGGGTTCTGGCCTTGGTAAATGGCAAAATGAGCAGGTAGTTTTATAAGGGCAAGAATCCATCAACTATATCACTGATTCTAATGCAAAAAACTGGCCTTCCTAAAATCTTATAAATTCTGAGTTATAAATCCTCACACAAGGTGATTTACAATTAAAAGGACAGAACTTTCTGAGGCAACACAGAGTGCCATTCCCATTAATGCAGTATTTCAAAGTTTGGAAAAAAACATCATTATTATTGATTAAAAAAATGCAGACCCAATTCATCAGTCGATATTTCTTGATAGGAAATGTTGAGCATCAGCTCAAAAACAGTGCTATATTTGAACCTGCCACCTGGCAAAAGAGCTGCTTCAGCAGCATTGCTGTGCTAGAAGACTCACCCACACATTCCATAAGCTCTTCCAAGGCTGCAAATCCAGGGGGGCATCCTCGGAAGCACCGACCTCTGTGCGAGTAAAAGCCAGTTTTGCATTTGGTACAAAAGTCTCTGCTAAAGCAGGAGTCGCAGTTTTCTATTCTGCATCCTGAATTGAAAGGATCATAAGGAACAGTGAGACAGCTAAATTAGGGTCAGACTAAAAATGGAATGACTTACAAAGCAATAAAACAGCAAAACTAGAAGTACCCTAATGAGGAATACTCTCATCCTGAAATTCATCTGCTCTATAGGAGATTATTAACCGTAATTATTTACCACATTTTCCCCTACATCCTTTTATTCATTTTTTTTTTTTTTACACAAAGCTATAGATAAAACCTCTAGTTAGGTGATATTTGAGTTAGTTACCTCAAATTTTTGGAGGAAAACGTTCAACGTAAGTTGTTTTTGTGTTTAACTAATTTTGAGCCAACTAAGATGCAAAAGTTTTGGGAAGCATGCATGTATTGTATGTACGACCTTCAGTTTACTATTTGTCATCAAAAGCAGGATATGTTTTTTTTTCATGAGTTGACCCTATAAATAGGTGAATGAATGCTTTCACATATTATAGCTGATGTCCATATCTAACAGGTATGTGCTACCATGCAAAAAGCCTCAATTTTTCTGGATATAACTCCTCTCTATTATTAAGCCAGTTAATCCATAAAAAACAATATTAAGTGATTAAAAGACATAAAGCTATAAAAATTAGAAAAAAAAACCAAACAAACCAAAACCCCCCCCCAAAAAAAAAACAAAAAAAAAACCCAACCAACCCAACAACATAAAATATATTATTGCCTTTTGAAATACTGGATTTCTCCAAAAATTTAAGAGAAATATCATCCATTATAAACTACAGACTCAGAGGCAAACTGTTCAGAAACATCCTATTCTATACTAAAACATGGCAACTTGGAAATGAACTAGGTACCAACATTCACATGCACACCTGAGAAGAGGAAATACTTACATGGAGGCTTATGAAAGTCAGTCATACATACCTAAAAAACAAATGCCAGGGAAAAACGTTCCCAATATTAAAACATAAAAGCCATTACACTTGGAACAGTAATGAACACTTTGAAATTATTTTAAAAGAATCTAATCCTTCAGCTAACATAGTTAATTTATACAACTATGTTAACCATCCTGTCTTCAGCAATCTGAAGTCACAGAAGGAAGCATTTGTTAATCAGGTCATGCAACAATATACTAATATTTTTGGTCACTTATTTAATTCATTTATTCTTCATTCTTTTCTAAAGAAAAAAAAACCCCAACCAAAACAGAAACCACAAACCATTAGGACTTCTGAAATAGCTATTGGTAAATATACCCTCCCCTTAACAACATCTCAAATTCAGGCAATCTTTATAAAACAGATTTTAGTATTTATTCCTGAACTTCAACATGCCTAAGTAAGGCACAACATAACACTTTAACTGGCTGGTGGTGGAAAATTATTCTCCGTTAGCAATTAGGGCAATTTGAGTCTTTTTATACCCGATTTCTTGTGGCATTGGACAATAAATCAGGCATATTGAATGGAGAAAAAAGTAAAAAAATCAAATGCTGGTACTCCTTTCTTTGGTTAGAAGGAATGTGAACATCAGTTTGAAGTCTTGCACTACCAAAGATAAGCTCTGCAAGCTCTATAGACACAACCACACTTAACCTTCATCCTGCCAACTCCTGTGTCCAGCATCTCTCAAAGGAGCTTTTAGAACTTGTGTTCATATAAGCAACAGAAGCTGGGCTTCTTATCCACAGTTTACATTATAGGAAATTCCCAAGAATGAGTTTTGAACCATTCTCCAAAGAGGAGATCACTGCCCAAACAATAACCCTGCAACATCACTTCCCCAGATTAATCTGTCTGCACAAATGATACAGTGACCTGCTCTGGAGATGTACTGCAATAGTTAATTGCAAATCTGATTTTATTACTTGCAATGCTTGAATCAAACATCCAGTCTGTGTAAATATTCAGGAAAAAACAACATTCACCTCTTGCCCACCCACACAACGCAGTTTGAAAAGACATCAAGGTTTTTCCAAATCCTGTAGTTCAATAATGAGGTGCAGAACAGAACATTAAAAGAAAAATTAGCATCCTGTGACCCTCCCTCACATCCAAGTGATACAAGCATATTTTTTGAAATAAATACTGGTTTAACTATTGTTTTCAAGACATGTTGGTGAGTAACATGTTTAAAATTTACTCCATTTGAACTTTTTAGAGTGGAAGAGGGATTAAATGAGAAACTTTTCAGTACAAGTTGCCTGTTTATGACATATAAACATGCTTAGCAGGCAAAAGCATGCCTCAACTTTGCTTGGGATACCCTCCATAAAACTACTGCTATTTAAATTGCTATTACGTATTGCTAGTACACATGTGAATACCCCACATTTAAACATTAAATGAATTAATAAATCTTTCAGTTTCTTGATCATAATTCCAATCCTATTTATATTTTTTGCTTTGTATTCTATAACTGTTTTCTTTTGTATCACAGTAGAGTCCTTGTCATGACAATTATATTTTGAAGGCATTACTAGATGCTTCTGGGTGAAAGTTGGGTGAGATTTCCACCAGAACAGTTTATTCTCCTATGAAGATAAATCACTCCAAACATGAAGTGTCTATTATTTAATGTGTATCAGACATAATTTAGTAGAAAATACTGAAAGAATGGTAGGAATACTTTAAGAATTCTGAAATTAAAACATTCATTCACCAGAGTAACATTCAGCACAATGCTTGGAGTTACTGGATGCTAACCATAATGATAATTAAATTCCATAATAGACCACACAGCAGTTGAAGATCAACTGGGAGTGACAACTCCTTTATTACATCCTCCATACACTCAGTTTCAAATGATGAAGCTAAGCCTTGCTTCTATTTTATTTTTTTCTTTTAGTAAAAGTGCTGTTAATAAATTATTTTAACTTTGAGGTTAGTACATTAAAATAAATTAATTAAATTCTTTTGCTTTTACAGCTAGATATACTAACATGGAGAAAGTGTACACATTTTTAGTTGGACTTCTAAAGAAGTTGATACTCCATTATAAATATTAAGATACCTTAGTTTGGAAATAAATACAAACATGTCAAATTTTGTATTTCTTTTTGTTAATCTGCATCATTATGTAAGATTTATTAAATATAGGTCTTAGTAGAAGTATTTCAGATTCCTATTTTTTTGTATTCTCTTATTTAAATAATAAATAGGATAATAAATGAATTATCTAGTTTGAAATCTACAGAAGAGCTGTTTGACATAATATTCAATACTTAAGAAAACCAGCATTTAAAAAAAAAAGAAAGAAAGAAAAGAAAAAGAATTGCCTCATCCTTTACACAAAATAATATAATAACACCCAAGGAAATATTGTTTAAGGTTAATGACCTGAACTTCTTTCTTCTGATTGTCAGAGTTTTCAACCCTTTGAACTTTCTGATCTCAGCATCTTATGCCTAATTCTGGACAGATAAAGCAAAATTCTTTTCTACTTTTAAAAATGTCTATGTAAACACTTTTCAATTCCATTTAAATTAACTAGTAAGCTTACTGATATAATAAACTGGAACAAAGCAGAGATTCTTTTTTCATCTGGAGAAGGTTCTTATCAAAACCAATTTTATTACTTCAATTTATTAGCCATACATCTGATTGATTGCTTTTCTCACCAGTTCAGTGGCTTTATTTTCTGTGTAATTTCAGGAGCTAAACTGTGGCTGGTGTATTCTCTTTACTCCACTTAAAAGATTAGCTAGAAGTTTACAACACCAGAAAAAAACCCAAAGGAAACAAGACAAAAAACTTCAGCTAACCATAGCTAAGATTGGAGGCCCAAGTTGCTCTTTAGAGGCAAGAAACAGATACTTCATTACCAACAGTATTCTTCAGAAATGCCTTCCCCCAGTTTAAAAAAAAATTGAAAATGGTGCCCATTAGAGGTTTCTAGATAGACAAGAGTGCCTGGGAGATTTTAGGGAAGTGGTAAGGAGAAGCCTAGAAGTGGAAACTCTGGGAGGCAGAGGGAAAGATAAGATTGGTGTAAAGGGGACAAGGAGTTGATAAATTCAGTCCTGCAGAAGAACCCCAAAGAGTGATCACATACTTTTGGCAGGCCTACCATACTTGCAGGGCAACAATGACAGAATTAGAAACCTAATCTTCAGAACCTTAGAGTGAAGAAATAAAGGGTGCTTCATTGCTGCTGTTCTCATTTAGCTAGCAACAAGAGGTCTGTAGGCCAGGGGCAGACACTCAAGTCCTTACTTCGTCTTTCATTTGTATTCAATTTGCAGTATCTCACCAAGGGTCTGCTTCCAACCAGACCTCAAATCCCTCCTATTCCTGATCAGCATTTTGTCTCCTTATATCCCCCTGGCCCTACTACCCTCCGTTCACAACCAGGACCTCTCCAACATCGTAACACCTACTGCAACTCTTCTAGCACAATCTCACATGTTCTTCCCAGTGATTCTATTTTGAGAAAGCCAGAAAGTGAAATATTTGCTTCCACCCTTCCACTTGAAAGGTATAAAGCACCACTGAAAGCCACCCCATATGAAGACCACACATCTTTCTTGCTAGCATTTGCATATAACTGGACTTCAAAAAGCACTCAGGGAGGCCCAGAGAAATCTGCTGGTATGCCTGATTAGCACAGCCCATTTCTAAACAGATGACACTTTTTAAAATGTCACACCATACTTCCCACAAGAGTTGTATACAAATGCAAAGAAAACAAGAAAAACATTCTGACCTCACTAAAATCCATGGCAAAGGTCCTAATTACTTCAACAAAGGCAGTTTTAAACTAGTAACTTTCTTATACCATCAAATTGACCAGACGCCACTGCATTTACTTTAATGGAAAAAATTAATATTAAAAACAGTAAAGAGTATAATGTTTAATGATGAAAACATATTTATAAAGTGGAAACTGAGAACTGGAGAAAAGCAGTACTCCAAAAGTTAGGAAAACTTTCTAGTAGTTTATTTTCAATCACAAGCTGTCACAGGAGTGGTTATAAATTCACAGCTCCATGACTTTACCCCTCAGGGGAAAGGGTGGAAGA